AATGGTCTGTCGTATCTGACGACATGATGCTGTGGAACAGATCCTCCGAGTCAGGCCATATCAAGGTGAAGTCGAGATCTGACGCAGCCTGCTGGAGTCCAGAGTGCTGCTCAGATGGAGGGGTGTTCCATGTGTGACTAGGAGTAGAGATCGGTGCCGCGCACTCTGTTGCAGCCCTTCTGGTATCCCAGGGAAGGGCATCTGAGCCAGTAGTCTGGGGAGGTAGATGTATAGCATTATCCTCTTGGGTAACTTTGATTGTGGGAGTTGAGCTTGTTGCCCGAGTATGAAGCTTTTCATGACGAGTAAGAGCATCTTGGCGGGCAAATGGTCGTCGACACTCTTTACATACGAACGGCTTGGATCCAGTATCTTTTACATCATACAGTCAGCGGTCAGGGCCGTCAAGCACGCAGAGAACAATCTCAATCATGTAACCGAGTAACGTGTGACTGGGCAAAGCGGAGATGTTATCTTACGGCAACGTTCATGCCTCTATTTACCGATGCAATTAGCGGAGTCCCCACAAGGATGTGAGAATGGAGCGTAACTACCCTCAGATGCTCGGCCTTGGAGAAGGCCTTTTGACAGACTCGACACACTAAGCTCTTCATCCCTGCTGCAGTGGTGGGCATGGATGACGATCTGGGAGATAATAATGACTATTTGGTTAGAGACGATGCTGATAAAGTCACATTATCGTAAACCAACGCTGCTGTCTGGAGGAGCGGATGAAGATGGGGGAACTGGGGGAGAAGCGATTTGGACACTCGTGGGGAAGTGCACAGTGGGTTAAAGCTGTGGGGACGTGTGGCAATAGTGTGCAGAGGGAGTGTGCATAAGCCCAAATTTAAGGCCATGCTGCCTCACACCTCAGGCAGCATATGATCCTCTAAGACTAGATAAGTAGAAGCACATTAATCTCAAAAGCGGAAGCTGCATCAACTCTCCACGGCTCTGGCCTCGATGACCTGCACGGCGACCACATCTACTAAAATTAATCATTTCATTTGTCGTCATCTACATTATCGCAGTAGTCCACTTCACTCATTTTGTGTGTGTTGTGCTAACGAAGTCCGCTGGCATCCTCCCACTTGGCAGTCTTGAAAAGATGACTTAAATCATCGGCTCAGGATTCGGCAAGCGATGTTCGTCTTTGAAATCAGGCGGAACGAAGCAGACCCAGGACAAACTCAATCGCGCCGAGAAAGCCCTGGAGAGCCAAGTGTCGCCTCACAAACTCAAAAAAGGCATCGGCAAATACGGAATCAGGTGCCGTTTCTGGGGCCTCAGCAGCAAGCTAGCTAATTGTTCATTTTGTAAGCCTCATTTCATGCAGAGTATCCTCATAGATGAGATACAGACTTGGGTCGATTGACTGATCGAGAGCATTGGTTAGCATCTGGGAATGTGTGCGAACAGTGCGAGGTAGAATTGGGTCCATCTCTCAACCCGTCGGCTGAGTGACACCACAATACGACTGCTACGGGTCCTCCTAGCCGGGGTCAAACGTCTGAGCACGGTTCGTCCAATCAATGGACTCGGCACTATCCAGTAAATTGCCGTCTTGACACCGGGACTGTCAATCATCGGCTTTCTTACTCGACCCTCTCGATGATATGCCGTGGGGAGTCCTCCGCAATCCGCGTCTTCTACTCCATGGAGAGTTCCCCAACTGGACCAGTCTCTGGGCAAAGATGGAATTACCCCAGAGAGGAAGCCAAAATGCCAAATGACAGGTCATTTCCCCCGCTAGCACGACTCGTGGATATTTCCACATTCTTTCGGCTAGAGATCATCACCTTGTATGGCATTAGCATGATGAGATATTATTCATCCTTGTTATCTCTCATCCTTTCCCATTCTAGCACCCTCCCTTCTCCGAGTGTCTCAACTGTTCAACAAGGCAAAGTCACCGGCGAGACTATTCAACAACTAGAACACATATATTGGTTTCGGTATCAGAGTCTTTGGAGAGAAACAAAGGCTCCGTTCAAGCAATGAGTGCGTCTATGGAACTGCGGCCGCACCGAGCGAACGATGATGTTTTAGAGACACCTCTGCCTGCAAAGGGCGACATCGATCTCGTGGAGAGCACAGAAACTGGCATCCCTTCCAAATATGCCGATATAGTGGCCTCTCGTCTCTCCAGATCCCATCGGGACTTCCTGATAGAGCATCACGGCACGCTGGACCTCGATCCTATTCCAAGCATGGATCTTGCAGACCCTTATAATTGGCCCGCATGGAAGGTTTGTAACCTCGACAGTATTTTGACCATGATAAATGGTGGAGATGTACCACCTTGTGGCCTATACTGACTATCGACTATTACGCTGCTAGAAAATGACAAACCTGATCCTAGTCGCTTTTCACGCATGCATGGGTACCTTTGCTGCAAGCGGAATCATCCCAGGCTACAGCATGTACGCTCCTTGATAATACTTTTTGAAGCCGCCCAATGAAGGTCCAGTTTGCTGATGAGGAATTCCGACAGCATTGCCGAGGATTTTGGCATCTCCATCAACAAAGCGAGTTACCTTACCTCCCTTCAGATTGCGATCCTAGGCGGAGCACCATTGTTCTGGAAACCCTTGTCTCAACGCTACGGGCGTCGCCCCATCTTCTTGCTATCATTGATTTGCAGCTGTATCTGTAACATAGGATGTGCCAAAAGCTCCGATTATGCATCAGTCGCTGCCTGTCGAGCCTTGCAAGCTTTTTTCATTTCCCCGGCTTCCGGTAAGACTTGTGCAGACGTGTATGAGGAAGGTCTGAGCTGACCCATATGAAAGCCATCGGAAGTGCTATTGTGATGGAAACAACTTTCAAGAAGGATCGCGCCAAATACATGGGAATCTGGACTCTAATGGTCACAGTTGGCATTCCTTGCGGCCCATTCATCTTCGGCTTCGTTACACACCGTGCTGGTTACGTGTGGATCTACTGGGTGCTGGCAATGGTTAGTTGGACATATTCATCACAGGGCTCACAAGCGGCTATTGACCTTCATCACAGATCAACGGCGCTCAATTCATTTTGTATCTCTTCTTCGGGCCAGAAACTCGTTACATCGGTGGCGATGAAAACATGAAAGAGCTCGCCTGGAAACGAGAATACCTTTCCTTGCGACGCATAGACCCAATTCCCTTTACGTGGTATGAGTTTGTCAAGCCTTTGGCGATGATCATGCAGCCATGCATTGCCATACCCGCTGCGGCCTATGCCATGGTCTTCTGCCTAAGTAATGTCTTGGCCACCGTTGAGGTACCGACGCTTTTAGAACGCAGGTGGGGCCTCAACCCAGAACAACTGGGACTACAGTTCCTTGGTCCCATCATTGGATCGGTACTGGGAGAGCAACTCGGTGGCAGGATGTCCGACCTGTGGATGAGACAGCGAGAGCGCAGGACTCGTAAGAGGCCTGAGCCGGAATACCGCTTGTGGCTCAGCTATATTGGGTATATCCTTTCCATTGTCGGTCTCATTGTCTTCCTTGTATGTACCCAATTGTCGGGGAACCACTGGGAAATTGCTCCTATTATCGGAATTGCCATTGGGGCCGCTGGCAACCAGGTAGTGACCACGGTGCTCATCACGTTCGCCGTCGACTGTTATCCTGAAGAAGCTGGAAGTGTTGGCGTCTTCATCACGTTCGTCCGGCAGATTTGGGGATTTCTTGGGCCGTTCTGGTAAGTTGCGTCTTCACTGAGTCGTTTGTGCACGGGCTGATGGGGATACAGGTTTCCGGCTATGTTCGAGAATGTTGGAGTCGCTGCCAGTGCTGGAGTCGGCTGTGCACTGATTGTGGGAGCCAGCATCATCCCGACGGTTATTGTTCACTGGCGAGGCAAGAAATGGCGTCCCAGCCAGTGATGAAGGACTTTCCAGGAGTTTCTCTTCATAAAACATCGTCACTTCGAGAGAAGAATAGATTGGTGGTTTTAGAACGGAACAGACGATAGATGGGACGGGTATCTGTTAGGGTCGAACATGGCGAATGAATAATCGGAGAAGTGCATGAGACACAACAACCATAAAGAAAATCACGGAAGCGCAAAAGAACGAGAAAGCCCAAGTGATCCCACTACAAATATTTATATACCTTACTCCGGAAGGGTTTGAGGTTTGCTGATCTCCTTTCCCGAATGACAGACTGATATCAGACCATCGGGAAAGCGAAGCCAGATCAAGTCTTAGTCCTCTCTTTACGGCTGCCGGACCGCCGGTTCGGGATTATCAGAGAGCTTCATCCACAGGAAGACAACAGTTTGTTAAAGCGACAATCTCTTAACCACCACCTCCAAACTATGAAAATGTTCTATGTTCTTGTTGGCACCTCAGGCACACAGCACTACACTGCGGAGTATGCCAAAGTTACAAAGTCCTCCCCGGGATATCCACCAGGCGGACATGCTTAACTCCGCGCGGGATAAAGATATACCCACGTGGGAGTCTGAGAGCAGCAGAAATAAAACCGCCGATGCGAATTCCCTCTCGAATGGTCACTCATAGCAGGTCTCAGGTCGCTAATCGCGAAAACGCTACTATGAAATAATCCCAGAATGAGGATATAGTCCGTCTGGTATCTTCAAGCTGGCAATGATTGGCTTTTTCTGATTGACTCTGTTTTGCTTCTTGGCTACAGCGCTCGGCTTTTAGTGGTGTGTGGCATTAGTGAGTGTCGGCAATAAATGGATGGATACCTACGGAGTAGTGTGTGGAGACAAGTAGTCCGGCGACGGTCTGGGCGCGTGGGGGGACACGTGGGAGAGGTATATCAAGCATTTTACCGAAACAAGATCTAGATATCTTGATGTTATGCATTCTAAATACGCACATGATGCACCTAGCATTATCCAATTTTTCACAGAACTGAAGACTGATGATATTGGCCTTTGGCTTGGCTTCTTTCTCATTTTGTGAGAAAAATACGATGCGGATAGTAGTATGTACAATCCTTCTGGTCATCGACGATTCCAACGGACACATTCTCCCAATCATTCCTGGTGCTCGATCTTTGTGATCAGTGTTCCGACATGAGGGAGTAATTCAACAGCAAACTCATCACCTGCCGTCAAGAACTCCTTGGGGTTCTTGGCCGCTCCGACACCTGGAGGGGTACCGGTCAGGATAATGGTACCGGCAGGCAAAGTTGTTCCCTGCGACAAGAAGCTGACGAGTTGAGGGACGCTGAAGATCAAATCACTGTTGGAGGACGAGTCAGCGTGGGAACAAGCAGTGGGTTCGTAGATTGGTGCGCTCATACGTCAGAGGGCAGTCCTGCATGACTCGGCCGTTCTTCAAGCCGCGGATGTGAGGCTTGCTGGCATCGGGGATAAGAGCCGAGGAAACCAGGACAGGTCCTTTCAGGAATGTCATAGTCAGCACAGTCGTTTCTGGCGTTTTGAATCGACGGGGATAGCTACCAATGGGGCATGAGGTATCGAAGCCCTTGGAGAAGGACCATTGGCTTTGGTTCATCTGTGATGTCCGGCTGGAAACATCATTGGCGGCGGTATAACCAAGAACGTAGTCCAGAGCCTCTGCCTCGCTGACATCCTTCGCATCACGGCCAATGACAATGACCATTTCCGACTCGTAATCGCCGGTGTTGTCGACCTGTGTGATCTTGGGAAGAATAGTCGGTGCCGGCCATGGGTCCGCAAGCGCGGTGGACGGCTTCATAAAGAGAGTCGGTACATCGGGAATAGTCAGCTTCATCTCTGCCGCGTGCGACACGTACTAATGGAGCAAGAATTCGCAAACGGTCAGCACCCAGATACATCCAAATCAAGAGTTTGCGAGACTCACATTCAACCCAATGCATCGAATGGATCCAACCTCGCTCTGCGCCAGAGGAGAAAGGATCCGTTCAATTATCTCTGTTGTCTCTGTCTTCTGACCTGGGTTGAGGACAGATGTGCCAGTGAATGGTCGTACAGAGACATCCTTGCCCTGGTAGACAGCCAAACCAACATCCACCTGCGGATCTACTGGCTCACCGATCAAGATCTTAGCAGGGTTAGATCTGGGGGCAAAGCGCACAAGGCCTATATAGTGTTAACCTGATTGCGCTGGAGAAAGCTCAAGATGCGTGGATAGAACGTACGCGAAAAGGTGGAGGCAATCTTAGACATGGTCGTCGGGCGTAGAGATGAGGTTAAACGGGTTTAGAGGTGGTATCACAAGAATTATTCAGGAAGGAACCCGGCTCAGTGTATCTTGCGAGATCCATCCTTCATTATGAAAGTCCCTCACAGGACATTTCTACCCCGACACCGGTGCGGATGCATTATTGCTGAGGACTCGGAGTCGTGCCGATAACAGCGAAGGCGGGGATGAGGGGTACCTCCAGCAAAGTGGGAGATGGGACTCGGGAGCAGAGAGAGTGCCGTTCAAGAACTCTAAACTTAAGATGCAAAGTCCAAAGGTTCCTTTTATCGCACTGAATGAGTTTAGATATCGTAATGTAATTGGATCGCTTTCAACACCGAGTCCACCAGGCCCCAGACATCCCCACGTTGGATTGTGGGGATGTCACCATTCCTGAGGGGCAATGCGGATAAAACTACTACGGTAGACAATCAGCGTGGTTATCTCCGAGTATTGAAGACTTGCCTGCCTTTTAAAGAGCTGGGGAAATCGCTGCTCGCAAAGAGAGACTTGTTTCGACATCTTAATTCGAAATTCTATTCGTCAATTCATCTCGAATCAACAGTCAGAATGGCCAGCCCTAAAGGACCTTTCCGTCTTGTTACTGTCAACACTGCTCCCGAGAGAGCCAAGCGTCTTATCGGACGTGTTGCCGATTCCCTCAAGGACCGATATACCATCATTCATGTGGACAACTGCGATAGTAAGTGCATCTTGTTGCTGAGAATAACCAGGGTCCAGGAGTGCTGATTGTTCTATCAATGTAGAAATCGAGGAGGTCGCTCCTAAGGTGAAAGAACATATGCCTGACGTTCTGGTATGCCGTTTATCATGCATCTCATATGTTCCACATTTTGCATATTATTCCTCCACTGCATTTCCCGGATCCTGTGATTGCAGCGCTAATGTTTTTTGTTCGGCTGTAGTTCAGCGCCTCCATGTGGACCGCCGAGGAAGCCCGTCAGATCCACGAGATCGCCAGAGAAATCAAGCCCGATATCAAGCTGCATGCCATTCCTACCGGTCTCCAAGTCGAACGGGGCCCCGATGCCATTGTCGAATATCTGTGCGAGAAGGTGCCACCAGTTCTGGATGCCTAAACCACGGATTCTGAGCTTCTCTTTCGACGATCAACCATTTCAAACCAGCGCCATCGAGCATGATTATGTCCGTTCTTGTATATATTTCCTGTAACAAACCACAGCGAGCTGAGTGAGCGCTAGCCGGCTTGTATTTCTTGCAATGCTTACCATTCAAAAGCTACAGTACCAATAGACGATTTTTCATGTGTTCTTGTTCTCGATGTCTTACGGAATCAATCTGATACTGCATCAGACACATGATGTCGCCGTATACAGGATAGTGCTTCAATGCTGACCTGTTTCAAGAAGTTCCTTTGATCTGCTCCCATGAGATAGCCCATTGTCTGTTGTGCCTACGCTGGCATACAGATATCTGATTGAAGCCCCACAATTAACAATTCATATTCCAAGGAATATCATCCTGCCCAATTCCAATAGGTCTTGCCGGGTCAGCACCACATCACATTCACCAGGCGGGTTCGGCGGACGGCCAATAAGACGATTGAATTGGAAAACAAGGGCAGGGGGGCCTTGATAAGTTGGTGTATTGGCTGAAAAATCCATCTCGACCTCGCCGTCCTCCTTCCTGGCCCAAAGTGTCGGGATAGCGCCACGCGCGCGGGTACGTGGCCCGGGGGCGGGAGAGGGAGGTCTTCGCTCAGAAACCCAAGTCTCGACTTTGATGGTCCTTCGACTGGGACAGATCCAGACAAGGATGGCGAGTTGAACGTCGCCATTGGAGTGGTTGATCCACCAGCTCGCATCTCCACGGAGACGTTCTAAGGACTCTGACATTCCCCCCTCGACCACCCAGAGAGGCCAAGATGCAACCTGAGATCTAACATTCAAGTTCTTGTACGCCGAGTCGGCCTCTTTAGATGAGCCGCCCCTTCCATGGTATGTGGTTGACTGGACAGGGACGACTTCTTCAAAGTTAACCGCCATGTGCGTTCTCAGACGGCGAGAGATTTCATGTCCTATTATCGCGTGGCCTCTCTCGTGGGGTTCGGACGGTACTTTCACTAGAGTCTCGATATCAGCGAAATAGGTGAAGCGTGCACGTTTGGCTCCAAGAGTGTCCCGGCGGCTCTCGATGGATTCGAAAAGCTGCGGCGTAACACCACCGAACGATAGGTATGAGTCTTCGATGCTTCCGTCCCTGAGCGCCGTAGACCTGTTCTCTATCGCTGACTTGAAGTCTTGTGGGTCACCTATTGGGGCGGGAGGGTAGATATCGGTGAGTGCAAGTTGCGCCGAGAAGGGAGACTCCATTTCTGGGCTCTTCTCCTGCTCACAGGTCCATAGGGAGAGGAGTTGTCTCCCGTATGGAAGACTAGCAGGAGGTAAGCAACAGTAAGAATGACGTCAGTCCTATAGAGTCCTTACCTGGGCACTGTTGATGCCGGAGTCTAATAAACTCAAGGTAGAGATGCAGAGGTTCATCTTGAACCGTTGAAGAGCTTGGAGACTACTCGCTAGATAGAGTAGAGAGGATGATGGAGTACAGAGAGAGAGAAGAATGGGTTTTATATAATAGAGAGCTCAGCCAGGGTGAGTCATGGAAGTCTCATTATTCACAATCTCTAGTTTTGAAAGTGAATATTCTATTCAATGATCATATGTTTCCTGAATAGGTAACTACTCCTAGGGAACTTTGATACATTTGTCTTTATGATTATATTTTACCAACTCTTACATAGACATTTAATCCAGCTAAGTTACTAATAGTATAATGTTAACTGAATCACTTCAACTGGATATAGACAAAACAGATTTACTAGAAACATAACCTCTAAGCCCTCATATCCATTCTGGCTAGTTATAATATACTAGTCTTTAGCAAGCTTACGTTCGTAAAACCAGGCAGCTTGTGGATTACTTACTTTAACTATAATAATATCTTAATGATTATGACATATTCATAGTGACTCTGCATGGTTACTCATTACACTCTACTGCAGTACTAGCTTTAGAAGTACAGCAGAGTCTGTCTCATTAAGGTTCCAGATATCATCTTTATGTATACTACATTCTTGGTCAGCTGCAGGTATAGTAAGGTAGGTATACAAAACAATAGAGTACAGTTCTTTGTTAGTTGGAAGGATTCATTTTCTCAATACCTTAAAGCTACATAAAATTATAAGCTCGTTGCGTGTTGAGGATGATGGGCCCCTGTTATAGCATAAGCTCTTGAGCCTCTTGGATAGCTCAGGCCATGCAATAACTCAAGCTATATCTTCTCTGCGGTTTTCGCCTCCCAGTTGTGTCTCAGAGAATGGGAGGTGTTTGTTGGTATCCTGGCCTGTTCCTGATTATGGAATCACTGCCTGGTTTAGCGACGTCTTTTGTATTCCCCAGGCTAGTGTCGATTTTTCTTTCCCCTTCTTTTTCGGCTGTAGCACAATTACAACCCATCACACTGCTGGTCTATATAGAAGACTCAAGCAGAGCAGAGCAAGACTGATGCCTTATTGGTAGGTATAGCCCTTGTGACATTAAGCTAATAGGTAATTGATTGACTCTCTTGGGATATCTGCCGGGATGAATGATGGGTGGCAACCCTTATTGAAAAGGCCATGCTGATGCCCACGCCTCAGCCGCGTCTTTATTATCGCCAGCAAAATGCTCAATGAACTGTTCTCGAACAACAGCAAGTTTTTGCTTGAGGGCCTCATAATCCTCATGACTCACCCAACCGTCCCATCCGCGAACGGCTCCGCCTAATGATTCTAATACATCGTCCATTAGTTTTATCCCGTCTACCCACTTTCTCTCTAATTCCTGCTGGCGCTCGATGTCTGCTGCGGAGTACACTAGAGGGCACGGAGGGCCTCCCTTGCTGCTGATAAGTTGATCCCATGTGCTGGCGAGTTTCATCAGGAGTCCTTGTAGGGCGGGTTCTCCATCGTTCAAGATCATGCCAACAAGGGTGACAATTTCTCCCTGCAGCGTCTCCTGATATCTCAAAGCACGATAGGCAGGCACATTCAGAGCAGCGGAGTAAAGATCGTAGTATTTGTATAGGGTCTGATTGACAAGCAAGTTCTTTGCATGTTTCTTTGCATCATCATCAAGCTCTTCAAAGTTATCCGGTAGCGTAGGGGCCTTGAGACCTTCGGGCTTCGGTCCATTGTAGTCCAGAAAAGCAGGGTGCGTGACCTGATCAAATAGGGGCGCGACATGGGCATTCTGCCAGTCAATCAGTCCCACAATCTCCGTGGGCCTTTCCGGGTCCACGAAGATGTTGTCGAGATTTAAGTCCTTGTGCCACAGAACAGGCGCTTGACAGTCACCATGCGGCAGGATATGATCGACAACCTTTAGAACGTCGTGGCACACCGAAAGCTTGAGAGCACAATCAGGTTGATACCCCCCAGGGCCAACAATTCCTTCAGGTCGGAGGGGCCGCCTTGCGTTCCGGATGGCCTCCATCTCCCGATAACAGATTGCTGTTATGTACTCTTGTGCAGTGTTCCCTGAGGTAAATCAGTTATTCAAAACAGAGTATGGAGTAAGAGAAACGAAGGCAGAACTTACAAGGGCCCCGGTCCAAACAGAGCTCTCCTCTTCCATCATCAAAAAAGCGTCGATCAGTGGTAGGTCCGAGGACCCAGCGTTGACAACTATCCTTAGAGCCCAGAGCTGGTAGGCGCTTGATCCCACTTGGGATATCGTTGGGATAGTACAGAGAACCAATGCCACCAAGGGGGTGGTTCACTAGATTAACATCGAACTTAACAATGGCCTGGATAATATCCCTCTTTTGTTCATTGCTTAACTGTGGCCAGACGTGTGCAAGAGAAGAGCCAGTCACTTTCTCCATAATGATGTACTCTGCCCTGACTGGATTGTCTGATGCGCGTGAGCTCCAAGCGAGCACCTTCGGGACTGGCATTCCAAGCTTATTTCTCACCTAAAAATAGTTAGTGTAAGAGGACGCGACCAAATTGAAAGGGTGCTTTGTGCACAGACAAAATCCATCGTCGCGACTTCACTGGCGGTTGTGTAGTGTGGAATACCAGAGTTGGGATTAGGAACCCGCGCGACGACTTGGGATCCATTGGCCATAGTAAGGAGAAGACTCTTATTAAAGTTCCCTTCCGGCAGCTTCTCAATTCTGATGCATGATGCAGACTCCTGGCCGAGGCATCTTGCAGCGATAGCTACTAATGAGCTTATGTCGAACCGGACATAGCGAGCCGCAAGCTGCTGAGCCTCGTTAAACAACCAACGTCCACCAGTGTAGCGGTAATAGTCAGAGTCAGAGCCGTCATCTAGGAAATGTCAGAATCTTGCATTTGACATTCGAGACAGACTAAAGTGCCTAGAGCAATGTTTTACCGTATTCTTTGGTGGAGGATGTTCGTTTCATTACCCTGGGCGCGACGTTTGACCTTGATCTCGTGGAAATAATAGTTGGAATTCGAAGCCAACCCACAGAGCGAAAAAACATTGATTCAGCAGGGACACATGAACTCGGCTGGAAGATGGACTTGGTGCGGAGTCAGCTAAAGTTAAGAACCTTAAGATCCCTTTCTAGATTAACTGACCAAGTTACCGTAGTTAACAATCTAGTGACTGTCTGACATAATCCGATTTCGACACCAAGGTCACCAACCACGTTGTGGTTGAGCATGGATTTTGACCCTGGTCACCACACAACACCATGGCTGAGCTGTCAACCTGGTCATAATCATCTTAAATGCCCTACGGAGTAATATTACATGAACTCCGTAGGTAGTTTTAATTAACGCTGCTGTCAAGGCGTTGATCAAGGAATACCCACCGTTGGCGTACTAGGTCTCGGATTAGCTCCTTACTCCGCATGTGCCTGGGGCCCTGGTTGATGCATCCATGGAACCTCGAGTCAATGATAGACAGTACGGAGTACCCAGCGTCAAATGCTACAAAGACATTACTCTCTGATGGTGCCATTTATTTATAGCCTGTACCCACTGTGACTGGGGTTAGTCGCATTACTGAGAGATCCAGACTTCCATTGGCGCCGCCCTGCAACACCCCTTGATATCGAGATGTAGCTACCAAATCAAGAAGGACAAACTTGCCGCCCTGGAGCCCAGCCCTGCCGCAGTTACCTGGCGTCGTGAAGCCTACAGCATTATGAATCTATTTCGGGCCACTACTCCCTCACCGTCGATGGCCCATCGCAACAAGCAATCAGAAGTGATATCTACGCGCTGGTCTGTTGTGATTGCGCTAGGAGCATCAACACACAATGGCCTCACTATCAACGTACTCAGAAGTCCATAAGAACATCTGTTGTCACCAAGCACCTCATGATTTATTTGTTCCTCATCATCTCCAGAGAATATTAAATCACTCAGTCATAATCGAGGCAAGCATATTGACCGTTAGCTCAATTACCCGATGATTCTGACCGCTCTTAGGTGCTTCGCGCAACCGTGCCCCTTCTGAATTTTGTTTGACCTAGTCAAATTTTGATCCTCTCCACACTGCGCTTCGAACTGAAAGCAATGGCGAGTGCCGTCAAAAGAGGATTGCAAAAGATCTTCGAGCGCGCCGAAAAATCACAGTCAGCGCTAAAGCGCATCTTGAATCCATCCGCTGATGGGGCAGGCACACGAGTCTTCCCACCCCAGAATCCTAATTCTGATAGGCAAATCGGCCTGAGGATCGATAAAGGGGAGCCAGTTCAAGGCAAAGCAAATGTTCTCAAGCTTAAGCTGCAAGTCAACAAGAACGCCGATGACCCTACTTTGAAAAAAATGGCGGACCAGAACTCCCATGCTGTGGTTTCGGAAGCTGAAGTCAACGTTGCCCAGGAACCTAATGTCGAAAACCTTAAAAGTTTGTTCAGTAACTTCGAAAAGAATATTCGTCTCTGACAAAAAGACAAAGTCATTGTTGAGGTTGGTTGCTGTGGTAGAAGTCATGTCTTCTGGTTAGACCACCCTTGCTAGTGGTATATTGCCGTGAACAGTGTTCAACATCATGCCCTTTTACAGGTTGTCATTTCCTCAGTTAAAAGGGTTCTGGTAACATTATTGAGTGTTGTGAAATGAGATCTGTTGGTCATTGTTTTCTATTTCTTGCATATTAAACAGACTACCATGTCGCTCAACCCGTAAGATCATCGCTCGAAGTGAAGAGAACGAAATGACAGAGTACTATGGTCATCAGAAGCTAACCAGAGTGAACAAAATGGTTGCAAGGCAGTTAAAAACTGCCCCCTCCTCGGGGAAACGAGGTATGGTTGAGTGATGAACGAGCCCTCAAGCGGCCGCAGCATGATGGATGGATGGATGGGTATCAGGCACCCAGAGCCAACCAACTAGCGCTGGCCGTTGTGGTAAAGCCCGTTGGCCGTGCGATTACTTACATACCTAGGTACTGATGATGCCAAGGCTATTAATAGTTAAGTAACATAGGAGGATGTCTGTTGGCCCTTGGCGACGACTAACTCACAAAACAGCGTCAAGTGCTAGGCTAATCGGAATTTCCAGAAATATCTAGGAACAGTCAAACGAATGGCAATAATACAGATTTTGGAACTAGAAACACATAGTATGGAGTAGTACATCAGTAACATCACCATCTTCGTTCTCTTTCCTTTCTTGGAACGACCCGAATGTATCGGCTTAGTCATCGATTTTCTCGGACTCGGCGGGCTGCGAAGACGGGCCTGTCTTCTATACAACCTTCCATGTTCATCAACATCCCGCAATGTTATTCGCAAGGATACAATTGAGGGTTGCGTCCAGCATCCGAGCGTTCTCGACGTCTCGTGTGCTTGAGTCAGAGCTCTCGTATCAAGTGTTTGGCCCAGAAAAGGAACAAGCCAGCAGAAATCCCATTGTCTTCTTGCACGGTCTCTTCGGCTCGAAACAGAACAACAGAAGTATCAGCAAGTAGGTTAAAAGCCCTGACGAGCAGACTCTGACCCTTGCGTAACCAGCCTGACTGACTGACACTCGCAGGGTTCTTGCACGTGACCTCAAACGGCAGGTCTTCACTCTGGTCTGTCTCTCAATGTATCTTAAGGGTGGATGACAAAATCACTGATTGGTCTCCAGGATTTGCGGAATCATGGCCACTCATTTCACCACAAAGAACATAACTATTCCATCATGGCCGAAGACCTGAGGAAGTTCATCCACCAGCATGATCTGGCCAAGTGTGTCCTGATTGGTCATTCGATGTATGTTTTTCTTCCCCACGGCTGTTAGCGAGGTCGGATCATACTCAACTCTTCCTGGAAATAGGGGAGCAAAAACTGCAATGACAGTTGCTTTGCAATCGTCAGATCTAGTTTCGGCCCTCATACCCGTCGACAATGCTCCTGTCAATGCTCCTCTGAAGAGTGACTTCGGAAAGTACGTGCGAGGCATGCAAGAGGTCGAGGCGCAAGGAGTCACCAAGCAGTCGGATGCCGACAAGATCCTAAAGGAATACGAGGATGTAAGTTTATCCCTCTTGCGCTCAGAGCGGGTCGTGGATCAAAGCACCAGACTCACACCAATTGCACAGGTCCTCCCCATCCGTCAATTTCTCTTGACCAACCTGGTCCGCGCGGAAGACAGTCAGAAGATGAAATTCCGTATCCCTCTGTCGGTGCTGGGACCGGCTATTCCTGCTATGGCTGACTTCCACTTCCGCGAACCGGGCTCCGTCACTTATGATGGGCCGACGCTCTTCGTCAGAGGCACGAAGAGCAACTATGTCAGCGATGACACGGTTCCTGTCATCAAGAAGTTCTTCCCCAATGCTGAGATAGCGGATGTTGAGGCAGGTCATTGGCTGATCTCGGAAAATCCAGAGGCTTTCAGGCAAGGTACGTGTACAATTAGTGTTCATCTGTTGGTTGAGTTTTGTTGACTAAGGATATTCCAGCTGTTGTGAAGTTCTTGCAAGATCTGCCATAGAGTATTTAGGCTGTATATAGTGGTGGAAGGACGGCGTTTCTGTGCTTATGTATATGTTTGTGCATTCTGTGCTGCTTTCAGAGTGATTAATAAAGATCTACTCATAGACACATGTATGAAAGGAAGTAGACACAAAGAAGAAAAGAAGTGATACAGGTAATAATGATGTGACTCCATGCAGCAAGACACGGCAAAGAGGTATCTCAGTGATAATCCAAACTGTGCAAGGAACAAATGTAATCATGAGAATCGTGATAGCTTAGCCCAGTAAATGCTTGAAGACCGACGCTGAACTATAACCGCGAAAACAAGACTAGTCTATGGTGATGGGTCCCTCCGTGATCAACCTGCGCTTTTTCTTCTTCTTGGACTTTCTCTTGCTCTCTGAGGGCCCGTCTTCATTGTCCAATGTATGAGCTGGTGAAGAGACTGTCATGGGAGACTCCATTCTAGCACCAGATGACCTCTCATTTTCATCATCGGATATGGTTGAAGGACGTGGTCGTTTCTTCTTTTTCTTTTTCTCGCGCAATGCCAGCGCAGGATTGGCCTCGGCCATCTCAGCATAGTTTGGGAGTGGGGCGACATCTGATCCTACAGGGCTTTCTTCTCGCTTGGGGGACTGCATCCCACTTTCTGGGAGAGAATCTAGCGCCTGCACTATGGATTTCTGAGATTCCAAAGAATCTTTGAGCGCGTTAATCTGCTCTGACAAGCCCCGATGATCGGCCGACACGGATTCCTCAAAGCGGCGGAAGCGATCATCGAGGGATTGCAAATCCTTTTTATTTGAGGTGATTTCATTCATCGCGATTTTCATCTGGTTGAGGCCACTGGATAAATTTTGGACCTGGTCTTTCAGTTCGCGAAAGGATTCATCTAACTCAATCCTGTTTTGACCGTCGGCCGCCTCTTTGCCTTTAATATGGTCCTTAATTTCAGAGACATGTTCTCGATATTGCTCGGCCAGAGAGTCAAAGTTGGCGTGTAATTGCTGAAGTTTGTCTGGAAGAGCGCGTGCACCTTCTAGCTGTTCTGTGAGAGCAGAAACCTGATGAGCTACCTTTCCAAAGGATTCCCTGAGATGGGTTACTTCTGCTGAGCGCTGGCCGACGTCATCTTGGAGACCGTTTACCAAAGCCGTCTGACTATTTTGGGCCTGAACAAGCTGTTCAATGGTCTTTTTCAGAGATGATATTTCTTTTTCAGCCTGATTTTTCAAGGTTGCGATCTGCTCTGCCAATTGGCCTGCGGAGGGGTACATCTCTTGCATGGCAACAACCATGTTCTTTACGACCATTTCGGTGGAAAGATGATTGTAACGTGTCTCCAGGGAATGGAGGCTGACGCGCACACTCTCGAGTAAGCGATTGGAATTCTTTAATGCCACGTCGACTGTGTTGATTTTCAGGTCTACCGTGTTAATTTGCTGGAGGGCTGCTGCGGGATTCCACTGGCTCATTTTCTGTATATCTTCGGCGAGGCGGCCAGAGAGCTCTTTCAATGATTGTATCTCAGCTTTATCCACGGCTGCTGCACGGTCCGACTGGCTCATCTTCTGTATTTCTCCAGCGACGCGGCTGTAGCTGTCTTTCAATGACTGTATCTCAGCTTGATCTGCACGGTCCAACTGGCTTATTCTCCGAGTTTCGTCGGCGAGGCGGCTGTAACTGTCTTTCAATGATTGTATCTCGGCTTTATCCACGGCTGACCTCTTAATCTCCTCCATTTCTGCGAAATGAAGCTCGTCTTTCATCACCTGAAGGTCTTGTAATTGCTGGAGTCTTTCCGACAAATTCTGGACTCTCGACTGCAAGGATGAGTCAGGTCTGGGAATCTTGGATAGATTGTTTTCAACATTCTTTAAACGCAACTCGATATTAGGTGCGTCAATTCGAACTGTAGCTGGAGCCTCCGGCGGAGTTATCTGGACCTTTTCTATCGGGGCCAGACGCTCATGGATATCTTTGAATTTCTTCTCAAAAGTAGTGGAAGTATCGTCGCTGGCATCGAGACGTTCCTGCTGCGCATCAATACTTTTGTTTAATCTTTCGAGAGAACCCGAATATTCTTCCTGAGCCTTTTGCAAAGAGCTCAGCTTGGCATCCAAGGTCATTGTAATTCTTTTCAACTCCTCAACTTCCGAAGAGAAGTGTTTCAGTACGGTTTCCTGAGAGGGGAATTGAGCGATATCTGAACTGAGTTTATCAACGCGTTCCTTAGTCTCCTTTTCGTATCTCATCTGAGCGTTGATAGAAGTGGCATGGTTGCCGGAACTCTTCTCGAGTAGGACGACACGATCCTGAAGCATCTTTATCTTGGTCTCTAGCAATTGATATTTCTCGCGACTCGCATCTGATTCCGAATCACCCACTCTCTTCTTGAGCGCCCGAATCTCATCCTGTAGTCTGTTTATCTTCTCGTCTGAATCAGAATTGTTGCGCAGAAGCAAAGGCACCCATTTGGTTTTGAGAGAATTTTCTAGCTGGCGATAGTGCGCTTGGTGTTTAGTGATAGTCTCGTCCATTCGTGTCAACTCAGAATCCTCATCCTTGCGAGCTTGCTGGTAGAATGCTGTGGTCGATGGGAAATTTGGCGTGGCCTTTGCCTTTCGCAAAAGACCCTCTGTCGTGTCCGTCTTCTTCAGCAATTTATCCTTTTCGATTTCCCGAGTAGTTGTGTCAACAGCAGCTTTGATCAATTCTGAGACGGCGCGAACAAATTGATCTCCAGGAGGCCCATCTTGCCTGTCAATAGGCGGAGAATTGTTCGGTGGCACTACGCCCAACTTATGACCATTAGGAGAACCCAACATGCCAGTATCTAGAGAGGCTGTCCTGGCTGGCGCTGGCTTGAGGCGAGGATCGCGTGACGGGGGGTTATTTGGATTGTCGACATCCATTTTGTCAGCCATCCATACATTTAGAGGGCAAATCTATGAGAGTGCCCGTCTCAAGTCATGTGTATGCCGCATCTGATGGCAATTAGAGGCGAGAATGAGCGTGTGCGCAACTGTATCTCACAAAATTGAATTCTCTCATCTCGCCCTCAATTAGGGAAGGTTAAAGACATCGACGAGCTTTACAGCGCGTAGAGGGCAACTTTGGCTGACTTGGTGAGGGAAATCCAGCCGGCGCAGATTTTTCCTGGAGAGATGAGTAAACAGTCGAAATAAAACAAAGTGAATATTCTCTCTGTTAGCAGAAATTCGTTGGCCAGCGAGCAGGGACAAAGACACGCATTTCGACATGTCATAATATTCTGCCGGGCGGTAAGTGGGGCGGCTTCTCAAACTGTGCCTTTCTGCCCCCGTACAGCACTTTTATCTACACTCGCAAACTGAGAAGCTAGAATCGCGCGTTTCAGTTGGTATCAGTGGCAGTACCGAGGAGACTTAGCTGAACTACGATTCAATATGGCCGTGGTAAATGACCTTACCAGAACTCACATCCCTGTCATATGACTGATTTAAATCACAGCCTATCTCAACCGTCGCGGAGACGAAGGAGCTCCGTGGTCTGAATCTCATTGCTGCTCATTCGCATATCAGGGGACTTGGCGTCGATGCGGACTCGCTTCAACCTAGAACATCTTCTCAGGGCCTTGTAGGTCAGGAGAAGGCAAGGAAGGCGGCCGCGGTTATATTACAAATGGTCAAGGAAGGCAAAATTGCCGGTCGCGCAGTTCTCATCGCAGGCCCTCCCAGCACGGGAAAGACAGCCATTGCCATGGGCATGGCCCAGTCACTTGGATCCGATGTCCCTTTCACAATGCTCGCAGCCTCTGAGATCTTCTCTATGGAGATGTCAAAGACCGAAGCACTTACACAAGCCTTCCGGAAATCCATCGGCGTTCGAATCAAGGAGGAAAGTGAGATCATCGAGGGTGAAGTTGTGGAAATCCAGATCGATCGCAGTGTTACTGGGGTGAGTTCAGTAGTTGTTGATGATTTCTCCTCTCTGAAAATGCGGTTGCTAACCGGTGCAGGGAAACAAACAAGGGAAACTCACGATCAAGACCACCGATATGGAGACGATCTACGACATGGGAACCAAAATGATCGACTCGATGACAAAGGAGCGTGTGATGGCCGGAGATGTTATCTCAATCGACAAGTCGTCGGGAAAGATCACGAAGCTTGGACGTTCCTACGCTCGTTCTCGAGATTATGATGCGATGGGCGCTGATACCAAATTTGTCCAATGCCCTGAGGGAGAACTTCAGGTCCGCAAGGAAATTGTACACACTGTCAGTCTCCATGAGATTGATGTCATCAACTCACGCACGCAAGGGTTTTTGGCCCTCTTCTCCGGTGACACTGGGGAAATTAGAAGCGAGGTCAGAGATCAGATCAACACCAAGGTGGCTGAATGGAAGGAAGAGGGCAAGGCGGAGATCATTCCCGGAGTTTTGTTCATTGACGAAGTGCACATGCTCGATATTGAATGCTTTTCCTACATCAACCGCGCCCTGGAGGCGGAGCTTGCGCCCATTGTTATCATGGCCAGCAACCGTGGTCAAGCGCGGATCCGGGGAACCACATACACCTCCCCCCATGGACTACCCCTTGACTTCCTCGACCGTGTTGTCATTGTCAGCACTCAGCCGTACTCTGCCGATGAAATCCGTCAAATTCTTGCAATCCGAGCACAGGAAGAAGAGATCGACCTCTCGCCGGACGCTTTGGCTCTCTTGACGAAGATTGGCCAGGAATCGAATCTCCGATACGCTAGCAATATCATCACCACCTCTCATCTCCTGAGCCAGAAGCGAAAGGCCAAAGAAGTTAGCATTGACGATGTACAGCGCAGCTACCGCTTGTTCTATGATCCTGCCAGGAGTGCTAAGTTCGTCAACGCGTATGAACAGCGGTTCATAGGGGATCAAGGTACTGTGAACTTTTCAGCTACTACAAATGGAGACGCCATGGAAATCTCATAAGACGCGTTGGTCATATTGCTCCGTGAAGAATATTGCACCAAAATCAGGTAATACGGTATGACAATATGGTGCTGCTTCCGAGAGCGCTTCTCTTGCTCTCTGTCCTCTGATTTCGTATGATCTTTTTGTTTTACGCATCTTATGATGTACGATAAGGCTGGCGCTTCTTCGAGCTCATATGCATGGTTTGTTTGGTATTTGGGCTTCGAACTGGGATTAAAAGAATATTTACTTCAATAATAATCATGGCGTTAATATGTCCTCCCAGAGGAGTATCCTATCTCGGAATTTGCACATAGAGATTCATTTTTAAAATCATGCCCCAAATCATTATCATAGGAAAGTGGCCTCGCTCGTCCAGTCTCCTGTATCGCCCACTTTTCGAAATTCGACGCCCTCGCCAAAATAGCCAGCACTCTTCCAAGACTCCATTGTCTGGCTGTCATATGGGCCATGCTCGACACCGCCGTCTCGAGCGTCAGACCAACGGAATTGCCACATTACAGGCTCTTCTTCGGCACTGGTGGGAGCAGCGGACTCCGAGGGAGGATCAACCCAGTCCTCGCCTGTTTCTTGACGGTACTGTCTTGTGAGCACCTCACGCTCTGTGTCGTAGATATCTGCTTGTCCCCGTGTCATGAGGATATCCGCCGCGCCAGTGATGGTTTCTATCGCTTGCTTTCGAGAAGCCTCATTGGGGTCATCTTCCGTCATTTCGGTATCCTCTGCTTGGGTCGCGTTTTGCTTCGACCGGTTCTTGTTCTTTTTGGCTTGCCATTTCGGTTTCTTTGCAGCCCCTTTGCCTATCCTTGCCAAAGCTTCTAGAGCTGTTTCTCCCCGTTGCAGGTGAGTTATTAGGGTCCTCAGTGCATCGGCCGTAAGAATGCTGTCATTCAATCGATCTCTCTCCTTTCTCTCAGCCTCTCTTTTTTCTGCTGCCTCTTTGGCGCGCCGTATATCCTTTTTCGATACTCCTTCCAGCCAGGAATCGTAAATCTCGTCGGGATCTGCTGCTTTTCGTATATAATTTCCCTGATCATCAAATCTACCCTCTTCTTGCTCGGCACGCATATTGAACGCATCTAGCAGCGGCGCATGCTTCTTCTTAGCTCCAGCACCCAATTCCTCGTCCATGCCCTCCTCGATTCTCGCACGGTCTTCTTCTGCAACATCGCTCTCACTTTCCACCTCATCCTCCTCGACTGTGTCCCCTGTTGCGTTTAGATCTGCACGCAATGTCACTCCACTTTTCGATGAAGCCACCTGACCCTCAATCTCATCATCGCGCAAGAAACGCACGGTTTTCTTGTTCTTCCTCAGTGCCTCGTCGGCATCTATTTCTTCGGCTCCGAAGTCTTCCTGGAGCTCCGCGAACATGTCGTCGTCTTCGGCGTCGTGTTTCGCTCGACTCCTCTTCGCCTTGGCCTCAATGCGCGCGCTGAACCCTTCATTTTCACTGTCCGAATCGTAGCCATCGAGGTTCACGGCCTTGCGGCGCACTTGTTGTCCGCGACGGCCGATCTCGTCTGCGTCTAATACCGGGTCCTCGTCGAGCGCGTCCGGTGCAAGATTAGAGGGATTCCGTAAATCGAAACGTGGCTTCTTGTGTTCGGAAGGACCGTTCGGATCGTCTTCGTCGTGGTGGTGTGTGCGCGTAAAGTCTTCCCCTGCCCGCTTTGGGCGCGGTTGAGAGGACATCATTCTGGATGGAAAGGACGATCAGGAGCTTACTTAGTCCGAAATCAAGAAATAAATCATCAAATCAGTATCAGACATCGCAGAAGCTCAGAAATAATGGAAGTTAGCTCTATGAGCTTGATTAGAGCTGCCGGTTGATGCTGGTTTCTTGTCTTTTCTGGGGTCGGCTCGGAAAATCATTGCGGAGGCATTTGCGTCACTGTTGGTCCAACAATAAGAAGCAGCAGCTCTAGCTTCCACCGTCTCCAACAGCCAACAGTGGGGGATTACTGATCCAAGGTACAAATTTCTGTCAGACTCGCTTTGCTATATTTCAACGACGACTTGGATATACTGTGAAATAGAGCCAAGTATTCAGATATCCTCAAACCAATCCTCTTGAACGTTCCCTACTCACAAGACTCACAATGGTAAGCTCACTTTCAGCTCAACTCTTAAGCTGCAAGTTTCACAAGACCTGACAACCTCAGTTTCGCCCTGGTTATTGGGACGACGATCAGATGGAAGGAGTCCTAGGCTCCTCCATGCTCCGTCATGGAGCCGCTACACGCCGTTTCGATGAATATTACCGTTGTTACCCCGTCGCGATGTTGCCTGGTCCAGAGAGAGAAAACGTCAACCATGGCGGCAAGGTGATCATGCCGCCTAGTGCTCTAGACAAATTGACTAGGTTACATATCACATATCCCATGCTATTCGAGTTGCATAATGGTGCAAAAGAGAGGATGACACATGCCGGTGTTCTGGAATTCATTGCTGAGGAGGGGAAAATTTATCTGCCGTTCTGGGTTAGACAAACCATATCCTCTCTTAGTGATATATCTGGACAACCGTCACTGACATTTCTGGTCTCTCTATAGCTTATGCAAACTTTACTACTCGAGCCCGGTGATCTTGTTCAAGTCAAATCAACCGATCTTCCTCCCGGCCAATTCATTAAACTCCAAGCTCAGTCCACCTCTTTTCTCGACATCAGCGATCCAAAAGCGGTGTTAGAAAACGCATTTCGGAATTTCTCCTGTCTCACGAAAGGCGATGTCTTCACTTTTGCTTATAACGACCAGGTCTACGAAATGGCGGTTCTGCAGACCAAGCCATCGAACAACACCAACGCCGTCTCCGTACTGGAAACAGATCTAGAGGTTGATTTTGCACCACCAGTAGGGTATGAAGAGATCCAACGCCCGAGTGGTACCAGCACCCCCCTCAGCGGGGTAAGCGGTAAGCTCCCCTCCGGGGGTTTACTTCATCCACACGGGACAATGGCTCAAGCGATCAACTACGCGGCCATTGCTCCAGAATCCACCGACGCAGCTACGGGTGCAAAAGCAGTATCATCAAACTTTCTTCTTGGAGGGCAGCGCTTGAATGCGAAGAAGGGTAGTAAAGCACCGACTCCTAAGCCTTCAACGCCGGTGCCGGGAGCGACAAATCCTCAGCACCCACCCCCAGCTAGACGCACCAACGGACCACAGCCACTTAGGCTACCACACAACCAGCTATTTTTTGGATATGCAATCAAGCCCGTCAAGAAGAATGGGGAGGACGGACAGGCCATCGAAAAGCCGCGCTTTCAGGGAACAGGACAGACATTACGAGGAAAGAAAAGAGAGCCAGGAGATTCTGCTACACCGACGTCTGGCAGTGATGTGGAAAATCACAAGGGCAAAGAACGCAACCAGAAATCTCACGGGAGTGGGCGAACCCTTGGCGGTACCAAGCGCTGATTTCCAGGTCTATCAGTCTCACAGATACAATGCTTAACGACTTCCGTGTCCATTTCTTCCTGCAAGGTGGCAAGAGATTTAAGTCAAGACGGCTTCATATCAAGCATAGCAAGGCTGGCCGGCGTTTAATAGGGGATCATTTTCTTTCTTCATTTCTGTTCCATTCTAGACTATGCACGCCCATCATTGCTCTATTTTCTTCTCGTAATATTCCGCCAGGAAAGGCGATCACCCAAGGGTGTCCCTTCACTGTGATGGCTGCCAGCTGCCAATTCGGCAGTCTCACGACAGCGGGTGGAGCTTGCCGAGGCCCAACAATCTCACCCGCAGCGATCTCTCTGGCCAGAGCTGCTGTGCTTAATCAAAGCCACTCTCTACTTCTAAGAACCAAGGTAACCTCTCGCTCTGCTTCACCAGTGTAATCCTGAGACGCAGAGACATTATCGCGTTCCTACGATGGTGTCGTCGACTCGTCAGGCTCTATCTAGTGGACCTCTCGCATCAGCTTTTAGTGAGGCTTGACACACTGACACCAACAACACTTCATCACAAAAGTCTCCCAAATTTCCTCAAATACCAATTGGGATTTCTCTTCCGAGTGACCGAGTAAACGGCCAGGCGTCTGCGTTCTTTTTCTGAGGCTCATCGCATAGATATCGGCAGCGAACCCACCAGACTTCCCTCGCTGATCTCCACAATCACAATGACTCCAAAAGTTCAGGAGGACAATCCGCTGGCCCCTTTTGTCAAACTCTCTTCATCAGTTTACCTCCAAGACCCTGTTGAAGATGTTGGTTACTCTGGGAAGCAGCCCAGAGTCATAGTTCTTGCTTTCTGGATGAACGCTTCCTCTCGCGCACTAGTGAAGTATGTCGTCGAGTATAGACGCCTGGCACCCTCGGCCAAAATAGTCTTCATTCTCAGTTCCTCAAATGATTTCATGCTTCACACTTCGCAAAAGGCGCAGCATGCCCGTCTTGCTCCGGCTGTGGAGGCCATCCAGGCCTCCGACGTTCCTGAAGGTCCGGTGTTTCTGCACATGTTCTCAAATGGGGGCGTCGCTTCGACCACCCATTTTCTTACAGCATACCTGAAGGCAACAGGAAATCCGCTGCGAGTCTCATCGATGATCATAGATAGTGCCCCTGGAAATGCGACAATCTTCGCTGGTCTCAAGGCGTTCTCGTTCGTGCTGCCCAAGATGTGGCTTTTGCACTATTTGAGTAAATTCTTACTGTTTGTCTTCCTGGTAGTGGGGTCTTTGGTACGAAGACTCACCCGGACTCCTGATGCTGTGGACCGTGCCCGAAATGCAATAAATGATCATGGTCTGGTCCGGGGAACGAGTCAGAATGATAGCCCGGCACGTTGTTACGTTTACTCCGATGCGGATGAGCTAGTCAACTGGAGAGATGTCGAACAACATGCCTCGGACGCGCAGGCCAAAGGTTGGGTGGTTCAGCGCGAGAAGTTCCTTGGGTCACCGCATGTCTGCCATATGAGGTCGGATCCTGAACGGTACTGGAACATTGTGAAGACATATCTTGAGTCGCCTACATCGACATAAATGGGTGATTGTGGCAGGACTCTCTTGTCTTGCTCTTCAAGCAGGCCCAATCCCCTCTTCGTTACCTACCACACAAATGTCAGAAATTCTCATGATTACCGAACGTCTGCGGTTGCTTTGAAATTGCCTTCGTCGAATCTGGCACGATCAGTTTTAGTTATAATACATAACCACACTACTTCGCTCAGAGATGACAGCCGATTCCCAGCCCAAAAAGCTGATCAACCCATGGCTTCCAGCAAGAACCACGGATCAAAAGTTCATAGCAACCTTCGTGTCTCTGCCTTTCTCCCTTGACTTCGCATTTTGGTAAACCCTCCCATTGGTCATCCTTATGACTTCATTCCTCCTACAAAATTACCGAAGCAAACGGAGCAGAATTCCGCCAGCTCACTGCATCAGCAATTGTGTCCGGTCATCGTTGCGCAGGACAGCCAAGCTACTTCGGAAGCAGCGGCTCGCTCTAGATCCCCGCCAGGCTGGCGATGGTCCATTATACCGTTCAAGGCAAACATCATACTACAATCACAATGACTCTGAGCTCTATGTCAACATTTCATGCGCCTATTGTGTCCGATCAGTTTCTCTCCATTCTTCATGCATGGGATCTGCGCACTCATTGAGAAGGAGTCAGTCTTGAAAATCCATTGTGGTGGCGACATCTCCTCAAGGACGACTTGAATTAGAAGTTCATAGACAGCTTGGCAGGTGTGGTTCTGAAGGCATCTGTCAACAATTAACTGGAGAGCTCTTACCATCCAGGCGAAGGACGAAATCATCTCAACGCAACGTGTACTGATAGAGACTGTGTGGCAGTGAGATTTCGAATCAGTCAGCAACATGTTTCAAAGTGCACCCAGGCAGGAGGCCTTCATAGTCGTTCCAAAAATCCAGGACAACAAGTTTGTACTGCCTGGATTTGGCCTGCCGCTTGATTATGCACCGATGGAGCAGAACATCTACGGTGTCCAGAACCGAAGCCTGTTTCCAACAAGTCTGGACGATCGGGATATAGCAAGGGGGGACGTCGAGTAAGGCACAAACCAGTCCGACAAGTTGCGTTCAGCATTTCTTCTTTAATGATTCTGATTGAGAGCAGTCAACCTGTTTTGCCCCTCCGTGAAAAAGGAATGATGAGGGTGATGGAGCGCATCACAGATATGCCTGATTGGCATAAAAAGGTAGGTTTGCTCATTTCTGGCTCGGCTGAATCGCGGCCTGCTTGCCATCGTGCGAAGCCTCAATTACTTCGGCCTCGCTTCCTTTTCGGAATGAACTCAACTAACTTTTCGACAGGTGTTCAATCCCGAGGTTGCCGAAACATGGAAGAAAGAAGCAATGGCAGGACCGGAAGATATCTCAGAAAACATGGCCGACTGGATTATCGACGAGCTACAATTCAAAGCGATCATCTACGAGCATACCAACGTCGTCTCGTTGTACAACGGCGACGTTACCAAGTCAGACCACAATGTGCCGGAATCGTTTCGGACTCAACTCTGCTCGGCAACCAAAGCCCTTGAGGACGTGCCACCGGGATTGAAGTTCTATAACCCAGGAAGCAACCAGGTGCAACGCGATCTCGTCCCGATTGCATTCTTTCCTCTTGTGTATGGGCGAACACGTATTCTTAAGGACCGAATCATTGGACTGGATGATGCATTGGACAGCATGGGCCAAGGGGTGGTGATCCCTGTCCCTCCAGAGAC